GTCACTGAGACATTTTCCATTTTTGTTTTATATGTTTTGGACTGCCGGTAGCACATTGAACAAGTCAACTAACTGCCAGAAAGGAACGGAAGATGATGAAATAGTGTTAGAAAGTTTTACTGCCCTGATGTATACAAAGCACTTCAGTAGAAAGGCCAGTGTTGCCAAGTACCAGGAGGGAACTACCAAGATGGAAAAACCTGTAATTCCTACAGATTGTCTTTCATGTCCACATTTTGAAAATAAGCAAAATGAGTGATAGGAAGAATGAGCAACTAAAACTGGTTTGAATTTTCACCCATAACTTGGTACGGTGCAGTGAAAATGATAATTGCAGTCTGTTGGCCAGATTCAGCCATTCTCATTCAGTGGTGAGGCCAAAATTCTGTTTGCCTCAGTGAGCACTTTACCCAACAAAGGACTGTGGGATTGGCTCAAATTGTAGAGAAGGGCTGAGAGAGCACCAAAAATATAATTTTTAACAAATTTCAGGTATCACTGGAGATAAAAAAACAAAACAAAACAACCCCCCCCCCCAAAAAAAAACCCTGTTTCCATGTGTATATTATAATGCAAGGTCTCTGATTTTTAAAACCTAATATTTTGCATCTAAAATTCATATTACTTCATGAATGGCCTTTGAAAATTGATCACTGTAGCTACAATGGGTTCTTATTTTAACACTACTTTAAACCAACCTGTGAACCCCTTGCTTATGGCCCCACTGGTATAGATACTGAAGTTCATTAACCCCTGTTACAGGATGTTGTTCCCTGGGTTAAACCCTGACCTCAGTGAAGAAAATGAAAATTGTGCTATTGAATTAAATGGAGCCAAGTTTTCATTTTAAATATTAGAATAAAATAATTGCTCCTTTACAGATTTCTGTGCCCCTAATTCTGAATGGGAGGTAGAGATTCATTGTATTTTTAAAAAAATCAAACAAAAGAAATTATAATGCGTGTAGAATAAACTATTTTAGAAATGTCATCATTTGAAACAAAAAAAAATGATAACTTCAGAAACTGGTATCGGCATTGTGTTTACTTCATATTGTAACTTCATGTCTGAAATAGGGATAAGCCAACTACCATCTTCTTTGAAGTAGAGGTTTTCTCGGTCTCTTTTGCAAATGTATGTATAAGAATCCAACATCAACCTGAAAGTGATCTTTTATCAAATTGATTTACTCCTGAAGATTGGAGATGTTGATTTGATTTCTTCTTACCGGCCTGAATCCTGAGTTTGCTTGATTAGGTACATTCTCACTGAAGCGGTGTCTTTTGATAAGAACTGTCACTATACTACTAGCTGATGTGCTGTAAGTAATTACAATATACTTGATTTTCTTTCAGAATAAGACTACTTGAGAGTACTTATATAATGCTGCATATGATCAAGGCGCTATCCCAACAAATAAACAGAAACTCTTTGTAAAGCAGACAGATTAAATGTTTTTATCCCTATTTTAGTCATTTTAACCTGATGCTGAGAGGTGAAATGGTTTGCTCAAAATCACAAAACAAACCACTGGCAGCAGAACTTGGAGTGCAGGGCACAGTAAGGTCTGGAAAAATAAAGCAGCAAAGCCTCCATGAATTAACTACCTATTCTTATTACTGCTACAAGAAATCTTTGTAAAATGTGAAGGGACAAATCATCTTTTATGTTCATGAAACAGTTGAAGTGAATGTATTTTCTTGGGTGTAGCTAAGGGAAGAACTTCCTGGAGTGTTTATGTTCTGTAGCACATGTTTACTGTGCGACTCATGCTTAAAGTAGGCAAACAAGAAAAGAGGAAAAAATGAAAATGTGAGGGATTATCTTTTCTCTTTGAATGTGTTTCAGTTAAAATTACAAGCCATAAAAGATCCTGTGCAATTAATTCATATTAGTACTTGTGGGTTGAATTCTTCTCTCAATTATGCTTGTGAACCATCTTTAACCTAATAGAGTTAAAGGGGTATAAAAGCACTTGATCCAGAACCCGTTGAAGTCAGTGAAAATAATTTCTATGGACATGCTTGTACCCATGCAAGGCAGTACCCCTCGAAGCAGTGTAGCATTCTCAGGCTAATTGGGGCATCTTTGAGCAAAGCTAATTAGACTGGATGTAGCAGGCTACATTGTTTCCAGTCCGGGAAGTTGTGTATATGGAGCAGTGGAGAATATTTTAGCATGGCATTGCTTGGCACAGTAAGTAAGTACTATAGATGTTCCGTTGACTTCAGGAGCCTTTGGCTCAGTGACCAGGGCTAGGGACAGAAAGTACACACAAACCGATTTAAGTGATCAGAAACTGGTCTAAATCTGTAACAGAACAGAAGCTCAGTGCACATAAACCAGTTTCAAAATGGCTGAAACTGGTTTGAGATAAACCTGGCTGAATGTAGTATCAAACTTAACTGATTTGGGTCAAACCTTTTTATGAAACTTCTGTCCCAGACCCTGGAGAGCAAACTTTGATTGTGTGTGTTAAGGTCAACGCTCATGTTATGATGTGCAAAATCTAATCCTATTTAGCTGAATAGTTAGGGTGCAATCCTAGCTCACTGACAACAGTTGACAGTTTGCCTTTGATTTAATTGGGAGCCATGATTTCACCTTTAAGGTTTGTTCTTAAAAGTTAATCACAGGTTTAAATACAATAGTGAATCAAGGCCTTGGCTCCTATAAACTTATACAAACCTAAACAAAGTGCAGATTTGGTTTTGAGACCAGAATGCAGATCTTGTTGGAAATCCTTACAGGATTTCTCATTAAACTCTTAGGACGCTTAAGATGCTTAATGCATGGAAAACTAATTCTACTGTGCTTTCGTGTGGCTGAGAAAAACCGTACTAATGTTCTAATGCATGGTAGATTTAGTCTAATGCGCATTGCCGTTACTTAAAAAGCATTCATCTGCACTAATGCGCAGTGGCATTCATCTGCACTGTGCATTAAGTTAGTACCTTTTATTACAGTTACTAACTTAATCCATAGTAATTATGGTGCATTAATGAACATGTAGATGTGCCCTTAGTGTATTTTTGAACAGGTTAGAAATATTATAAGAAGAAGAACGTATTTCAGTGCTTTCTTTTCTGCATGTATCTAGAACTGGAAAGAATTGTCAGAACAAAATTAAAAGTACAAAAAACTGGAAAGGTACAAACAACAACAAAAAAGTTAACCATACTTCTTAATGTCTTGACTCATGGGTTTATGCTTTTCTTAGGAAAAGGATAGTGTGTGTAAGGTGGGAGAGAGGGGGATGAAGGAGTCCTCCTTTTTGGAAGTTCAAGTTTTATTTTTTCTTTACTAGTTTAACCATTCCAGTTTATAAAGAAACTGAAGGTTTTTCCTTTCACTTGGCAGCACAGTTCATAAAACAGACCGCTTAAAATACGTTTCTGTAATAGAAAGAACTTAATACAATTTTCCTAAAACCTGAAACAAATCCGCTAAAATAGCTTCAAACTCAACAGCAACTAAAATGCTTGTGCCAGTACAAAAAAAATGACATAAGTGGTATACATGACTAATCATGCTATCTACATTTTTATTTAATTATATCCATGATTTTAAGAACTGTCTGAATCATGTGAATCGGAGCCAGAGAAGCTGAAGAGTTGTCTTCTATTTAATATTCACCATGTGTTGTTTTCTTCTAGGCTTAATTTGAAAAATGTAAACCATTTACCACGTGCATTGCTATGATATTTATACACTATTTATAGAAAGCCTTGACCACTTATAATTAGCCAGCATTTTTAGCTATGCTGGCTACATATTACTAAAGACATTTGTATTGAACAGAGATAACGGTGTTGTTTTTATTGGCGATTTTTAATTTGTTTCAGAACATTGTGTGGTTTTTTTTTTTTTTTTGGGGGGTGTGGAGTGATTAATACTTGTAGATAGCTCTCTTGCTCAAGGATATCTAACTGGGATTCAAATACTGACCGTTCCTATATGGGTAGTTAATTATTAAGAGACTCACTTTACATTCAGATAAACTAAGGCAAAGGTAAGTTAACCCAAAGCACCATGCTTGATTCTCTAATCTGGGCAGCTAACTCCATATTAGCTGAATGGCTAAACGTGTGAGCTAACTAAAAGCAGATGCACTATGGAATTTTCTAAGAACTGTGCATGCTTTTGGTTTTGTGACTTCTGATGCACTGTGGCACTATGTGGCCTTGCAGAAGTGCCATACTGGGTCAAACCACTGGTCCATCTAACTCAGTATCCTGTTTCTAACAGTGGCAGGAAAGGATGCTTTAGAGCAGTGGCTGTTAACTGGCAGCATATGTGCCACAAGTGGCACAGGCGGCCTTTGTCTGTGGCATGTGGCAGATTGGGGATGAAACTGGCAGCACAGTGGTAGATAGGGTAGGGATAATAAAACAGAGCAGAAGATTGGGTGGGGGAAGGGGTTTGGCAGGCACTTGGGGAGAGGGCAGGGCTTAATATTTGCCATGCATGCCAGAAAGGTTGGCCTCCACTGCTTTAATGGGAGAGTATTGAATTGAGTACAGCTAGAGTGATCTACCTCCTGTTCATTACCATCTCTGGAATCCACTGTCGTTGGTTTGGAGATGCCTCCAACCAGAGGATACAGCTCTGACTGATCTTTGTAATAGCTATTAATAGATCTAATGTCCATGCTTTTTGTTTAATCCATTTTTAACCTGGCTGTACTATCTGCTTCTACAACCTCTTGTGGTAATGAGTTCCACAAGTTAACTATGCACTGCTGTTAAAAAAGTACTTACTCACGTTAGTTTTAATTGTGTCTGACTGAATTTCAGTGGGTGCCCCCTACTTTTAATACTCTAGGTCTTGATGGAAAATAGTTGTCTTTTAACTTTGTCCAGGCCCTTTTTCCAGACCCTAGGTGTACCACACTTCTTGCTTTATTTTAAGCAAGAGTGACTGATGGAAAATTCCTTCCTGCTATGTATAGCTTTTCTGATTTATTTACTTGTGATTTTTTTTATTGTTATTATTTCCAGAATAATGGAAGTTCAAGTGAGTTTGAATGGACAGTCTTTCTTCACTGACTCATTAACAATTACTGCTTCAGAATGTGTAAGTAAAAGATGGACATAATTTAATGTGGACTGTGGAAATTTTGATACTTGTATAGATAACCTTATCCTCACATAACCTTGTGCGTGTGAAAATCTTAAAGAAGAGCTATAGCTCTTCAATAATATGTTAAAAAACGGAACTGTAAAACTACATTTAAATGTAGGGATATATAATAATATCTCCTAAGTCCCCATTCTAAATAAATGTAGATTCTTTGTCATATAGAAATTCAGTGCTCCCAAAGAAACTTCAGCTGACTGTCTGTCCTTGATGAACTGAATGCTAATGAACAGACTTTTCTGCAGTTATAATATGTCAAATGATTCATTTAACGTTTCCTGTTAAAAGTGGCAGACAACAGTATGTTTAGTTAGCATTCTGCTGTGCATGAGTGTATGCTGAAAGAACTTTTCCATATATATTATGTTAAATTTCCAAATAATATACAAATCACATGTTTTGCCTGGCATGATTAAATGGATGACCTTGTCTCCTGACAATAGGGGTGCTCAGTCCCTAGCCTGTGGATTGGATCTGGCTCTGCTCATTAGACTGGGCATACAGGGCAGTGCAGGAGCTGATCTGGGAGCATGGGGCTGGATAAGGGTGGGACAGGGCCCCAGAACTCAATCCCAGCATGTGGGACCAGGCAAGGACAGTGTGGGTCCCCAGAGCCTGATCCTAGTGTGCAGAGAAGGATACTAGGTGGTTTGGGGCCCTGGAGCTCAATCCTAGTAGGCAGAGCTGGGTGGAGGTGGCTTAGGGCCTTTGGGTCAGCCCTGTACCACTCATCTGGCCTGTGGGGCCAAAAGGTTGACTGGCAGTGCTCTGTAATATATATACAGGGTTTCCTTTTTTCATCACCATTGCTTCTTTTGAAAATTTCTTCAGAAATTGCTGAAGTTAGATTCTCTACAGAAAATCTAATTGTAAAGGGGAAACCAGGGAAATCCCCCTCTTCCTCCAGCCAATCTTTTTGCTGCTTCTAAATGTTTCGTACCCTGTCAGTCAGGAAATGGAATTAAGTTTCCCATATGTGCAGTGCTTATCAGTCTGCATTATTATTTCCTCAATATGTTGCGATGCATTATAGTTGCTACAATGTGCAACTATAGCTTTGAGGCCACTGGGTGGCTTCCACCTCTGTAGGGACCTGCCCTCCAGAGCAGGTATAAATACAACTACATCAAAAGAGACATTTGTGATATAGTCATTCACTGATCTAGTTACAACATCCAGGGGGAAGATCTGGAGAGGGGTTGTGCTGGTGCAGTTGCACACCCCTTTGATTCTTGGTCACTGCCTGGCAGTGACCATGACACCTCTATACTGGCAGCACTGAGGGAGTAAATTGACTTCATAGCTCATTATAATCTACTTGATTCCTTCTGAACTCTTGATTCTGTAGGTGCTAATGACCCTCTTTCCTTTTCTGCAATTCTGCTGTCTGTTAGCTGCTCCTAGTAATGTAGTTCCCATTTCATAGTCCTACAGATTTTTTTTTCACTCTAACGAGAAACATTAATCAGGTATGGAAATGTTAACTCAGGTGAACATTAGCTCAGATGTAGAAATAACTTTCAGTGTGCTATCCAGATGCTTTAGGAAGCTTGATTTTTGTTTTGTTTTGTTTTATGAATACAAACAAGAGACGTACCTTTAATATATGTTGTGTTATATGATGATCAGGGATCTGGGTTTTCCATTTCCCATGAAAAAATGTGGATTTTCCCCTTTAAAGTGAGAAACCATGAATGTCCCTTGTAGGTTGGCAGAGCAGCTAACAGACAGCAGAATTACAGAAAAAGAGAGAGGGTCATTAACACCTACAGAATGAAGAGTTCAGAAAGAATCAAGTAGATTATAATGAGCTACAAAGTCAATTTTCTCCCTCACTGCTGCCAGAATAGAGGTTACTTGGGGCTGTGAGGAGCTGGGGAGGGCGATGGGAGGTAGAAGGCACCACATGCATGTATGCATTGACACACATGTCGTTGGCAGTACAGCCAGGCAGGGTGGTGGTAGCCGCCCTGGCAGCTGGATAAAGATAAATTTGTGGGACTGGGCGAGGGGGTAGTTGGAGGGCCAGGGCTTGGGGACCATCTGGGTACAGTCCAGGCATGCCCATTGGTAATGTGTCAGGGCAGCATAGCCTCCCCAGATTTCTTCATGGACAGCAGGGCATGGGGCTGCATCCTGGCTGGACTACCACTGGGTAGGGGCTGCCTCTGCAGTCCGGCAGTCGGGACCCAGCGTGGAAGGGCAAAGCGGGGCAGGGAGACTCAGTTTTGCTGCTGCCACTGATGGGAGCTCCTCACCAGCTGTACCACCAAGGTGATGTGCCCTGCCCGCCCAGCAGGTGGTGCCTTACCATGGCAGTGTGGTTGGCACGGGGCTCCCAGTGGCAGTAGCAGCATCAAGTCTCCCTGCTCCATGCTGCCCTCCCATGCCAGATCCCACCTGCTGGACTGTGGATGCACCCAGCGGGAGGGCAGCAGGGCTGGGAGCCCTGAGCCCCACAGTGGGCAGCCCACATCCTCCTCCCACCCTCACTCTCCACGGGATCTGCTCAGCTCCACTCTGGCCATGTCAGCCACAGGCAGGAGAGGGGAGACAAGGCCAGGCTCCGTGCTTCTCCCTCCACCCCAACTACAGCAGCTGCTGCCTTTCACATGTGGTAGCTGGGGCTCAGGTGCTGCTGGCTGGCTGTGGCTGGCACCCACAAGGGCAGAGAGTAGGTTCTGGGCAGGATGCAGCCTCTGGGTCCTGTAGCCCTGGTAGCTGGGGACCTGCTCTGGCGGGGTGGGGGGTGGGGGAAGGTGCTGCAGGTTGGAAATGAGGCACCAGTGGTGGGGGGGGCTGTAGGTTGGGAGTAAGGGGCACTGGCAGGGTACGGGGGCTGTGGGTTGGGGGGGGGAGGGACTGGGGGGGGGGGGGGGCGGGG